GAGACACCGGAGACTTATCTCAGATTAAAAATAATAAAAATGGGAATAAAAAAACCTTTAGAGAATCTGCGCTCCAAACTTCGCACTTCATTCTTTGTTGGAATGATTTATTTCGTTGAAAAATACACTACTTTACTTGAAAATTATAAAGTAAGAAAGTAATGGTGATAGCAAGAAACGAAAGTATTACACAAGACGAAATTACGATTGGTACAAGAATTTGTATATCGTAGGTTGTTATGTCTAAATCAAAGCATGAAGGTGAATTGAACGAAGATTGAAAACCGGAAATGTAGATCTGCATGCTGAGTAATCAGAATGTTAAGTTATTGGCACGTTGGTTCGTTCCGTCGTCCATAATAATGAAGGAAGAGGAATTCGAGAACGATTCTACATTTTAAAAGTAAGTAACTAGGAACCAGTAAAGAGGGTGATAAAAAGTTCGGGTGACGATAAAGAAGGTTGCAACAAGGTGGCGGCAAAAAAGCTGTTTATAAACCCAATACATAGATCAGCAACAAGCACATCGATCCGAAGTTCAGTTGGCAGAGCCCGGTAGCCCCATTGAAGAGACAAACCATCGGTCGGGTCGAAGAATTTTTTCTTTGTGCTTATTCAATTTTTGCATCAATAATAAGTCTCAACTTTGTACGGCAGAAAATGTTGGTTAAGACGGAAGCGTGAAAGTAGAATGAATGCTGTAAAAATTATAGCTTTACGCAGTATGTGTGGTGTAAGGGAGGTCACCCACCACTACACTTATTAACAAGGTCTTAGGCTTAAGCCGGTCAGAAAAATCTTTATATTCAATACTATAATTCCGTGACCAGAAGTGGTGACTTCCTAGTAGGAGGTTAGTTATTCAAGAATTGTATCACAATGCTTTAATTTGTTTCATGCATAATAGAGATAATCTTGCAGTTTTCTTGAGAAGTACCGCGAATAGTTTTAATATTATAGTAATATATTATTAAACGGTGACGTGGGATACCAACTTTGCGTTTATGTGCCCTTAGCGGAGCTGTTTATATTGTCCTACCTACGATCTAATCAGACACGGGCCATTAAGGCGCTACCTTGAAAATAAGCAGTGGTAAGAGAGAGAAAGAAATATATGGCAAATGGCGCCAGAATACAAATAAGTGAAATGGCAATAGTTCACGCAAGTTAGCAATAAATTTCAAGCCGACTTTTTTTGGAAATCGAAACAAAATTTTTGCAAAAAATCAAACTGGTTTGATTTAATAAATCGATGCGTTACTTTCTCAAACTCGTATCTTAAAAAAGAGTGATTATTTAGGAGATGGCAAAACTTTCTATTTATTTTAAATTTCTTATCAAGGGTGTTAATTCGGATGCATTTCTTTAGGAATAGGTAAAAGCCAGTGTGTGAATATGAAGAAAATGTGATGTGAAATCCGCCTGCAAAATTTGTACATGCAATCAAATTTTTGTATTCGAGGCGACGAAATTAAAAGTAATCTGCTTTTGGAGCTAAATTTAATCAATAAACTAATATGCATTATGAATTGAAACGACAAATGACGAATTAATCAGGTGGTATATCGGGATTCAATTTATAATAATGTTTCAGGCTACCACACCAACTACTAAGAGTATCAGAGTAACGAAATTCATTCCGGAGCACTAACCGGAACACCCAGAAAAAATGTATTGAAAAAGTTCATTTACTAAATTGGTCCTACCGAGAATCGAACCCGGGGTATGCTCACCCAGCGACCAAAGTCCCACCGTTTAGTCAGACCCAGTTGAGAGATGCTAGTCGAACCCAATGTAACTGCATTGCCCCAACACAGTTCATGCAGCACTTACTGTTATGCCCTTTGTGCCTTAATACCTGTACGAATGAAGATCTCTACGCAGTGAAGGTGAGGATGGCAACATAGAAGAAGAATGGACAAAAAACGTGTAACCTGAATCTAACTTATGATAAAAACAAATCATTTCAAAAATTGGTCAATTTGTCGAGGTATCCTTTAATTGCTTAATTGCTCGCGAACAAATAACGACCTGTTATGTAATCGTATATTGGGAGAAATATAACAATGTGAAAGGGATTAACGGAGATAATTGCAAATTGACCAATAAATTTGTGATAATACCTCGAAGTGCCGGAACGTTAGGTTAGGGCTCGATCAAAATAATTTGAAAACCTTTTTTTGCTTGCAGAAGATGTAAGAAAAATATTGAACATTCTATTTATGCTTTGAATTCTTATTATGGTTGTGTTTGTTTAGTAAATACTTTTTATTTCAGTTTAAAGTATTGTTGAGTACACTAGTTCTTAATTCATTATTTACCTACCTACTTATTTACAAAATGTGTATTTGTGCCTCCGAAATGAGATCATGACACTTTCTTCTGTCCTGTGCAATCTCTTGCCATTTAATAGTTTATAGTTTGCGCAGGCTCGCGTCCACGGCGTCGTTCTCGTTCGTGAACCTACCGATCTTCGACCTAGATAGGCTTTCTTCGCGCTCCGATCCTCTCCGATACTTCCTAATGGCCAAGCCAGCAAAGTCTGTGCGCTTTGGTTTCGCCGATATTGTTGGGTTGGTCAACGAGCTCTTCATTTAGCAAGAAGATGACAGTCATAGGTACTTGCTGTCACAGAAAATCGAACCGGTGACCTCTCACTTAAAAAGCAACCCTTCTCCCACTATCAATTATATTAGTGTATTCAACAATATTTTGTAAGATTAGGGTGAAATGCTATGCCAATAATTTGGATCAGAGTGGACTTCAAATTCACGGGACTTGTCAACTTTATGTATCAGGGTGATGGGCGCTGTGGCTGTACTTCTCAGGTCTTTACCGTTTAAAGTTCTGAGTGGCACTGTAATTATTATGGGTAGGTGTGCCGCTTACCAACAGGTGCACGACTTCTAGTCTTCTCACTTGGTATGATAAAAAAAGACAAAAAGGATAAAACCTTGTATCAACATTTTGCTGTATCATTTTCATTATACGAGTAGTTTCGTTTCATGTAGAGCGCTGACAGTCGACTCATGAGATTCTCAGAATACCAAAAAGTGTTCGACATCCGCCGTGTTTTATCGACATTTCTTTACTGTAACATTTTCTATTTTATCCGAGAATCTGCGCCCAAAGTTATAAAATATCCAACCTCGCCACGAAATCACTAATATCTCTTGTATTTATTGACATTGAATCAAAAGGTAGTAGTCCAAAAATATAAGCTGTAAATATATGTTTCCCGCAAGCTATAATTTGGGGCTATTCAGGGGTAGAGTGAGTAGGCATTTACTAGACAAACGAGTAACATCATCCGCCAGATTGAGATTGTGGCCAAGTACCTACTTTACATAAAGAAAATGTTTGCACCCCAAGTCGTAAATCAGATCAAATGACGAATTGCGAATTTTGCAAAGAAATGGAAAAAATCTCAACTTTCCCAAACTTTGTCCCCTCCAACGTGCAAAAGCTTTTAACAGGTTGTGTTCGAACGACGTTTTGCTTAACCTTTAACTTTACTTAGATGTTACGAATCTGTAAATGTGTTTGTCTGTTAAGCAGTGGAAGCGTAGGCGGCGCGGTGAATCCATTTCCAAGTTTATATATATAGCACATATAACAATTAACGAATAGTCAATAACACGGGACTTTGGATATTTGGATTTGGACCTAGTATAATAATAAGACTAGTAGTGCAACTTCTGCCTACTCCAAGCATACTCGTAGGGCTGTCACATTATTATTTTGGTTGGACCTCTGTAGGTACTTATTGTTTTCAAAAAAGTGTCCATGACATTATTATCGTGCCAACTTAAGTTTATCTGCCTTTGTGGCGGAACGGATACCATGCTGGACTGCAACGCAGAGGTCCCGGGAGAAATATTTGTATGACCTACATTTATTTCTCTCGTGAGTTTGGGGGTAATTTCAGATTGTCTGTGTGTGTATATCGCTGATAAACTTTCCACAATATATCACCAGAGAATCCTAAAGTATTTTGGTCATATTCCTCGCCGACAACAAGACAACCTTGACACACTGGTTGTGGTGGGTAAGGCGGAGGGAAAGAGATTCCGCGGTCGATCATCTAGCTGATGGATTGAGTGGATCAAGTTGTCACCCTGCCCTGAGAGAGGCCGAAGACAGAACCAGATGAAAGAGGAAAATGAAGGAAGAAAAGAAAAAATGAAGGAAGATGAAAATCGTCCATAACGTCTCGAAAATCTTTCGGGGGTACGACTTTCAGTAACGAAGGTAACGACTAAGGAGATGTGTGTGTGAGGCACGTGCGATACAGGGTTTCCCTAGTGCGGGGCTATGAGTGTGTGCTTTATTATTATTGTGTTTAAATAAACTTTGTTAAACCACTACTTACGTATTGATATTTTTATATCTATCATCATTACGGATATCTCGATGATTATAAAATAGAAATGAAATGCTGAACAATTCTGAATTTGAGGCAGTCTTGTTCAAAATAACGAACACAAGAGACGTCTCACGCTATGCAACGTGAAAGCACCGCGAGATTATACGAGTGTGTGCGTCCGTAAAGCGCGCGCCGAGCTGGCACACATACAAGCCACGCTGCCACTTTTGTATAAAGTTACACTACTTATTATACTATGGTTAAACTTTGGACGCTTTGGATTATCTTGTCGTAAGTGACATGGAGTCGAACTTCATTCTTAAGTGTAATTAGAGATGTGCTGTAATCCGGGGCACAAAACTGTGATCAATTTTTATAAAAAAATATGTTTAATTGATAAAAAGCATTAAAAACGAACAAACATGGAACGGAAATATTAAACGTAACATCAATTTCAGCATTAACAACAATAAATATAAACAAACTATTCCCGTCAATATTTTGATTCGTTGTTTACAGAAATATAAAATAATAAACAACAATATTGCTTATATGTGATGTAAACCGAATAAATTCAATCATACTGTGCGAAATTTGGGAACGCAACGTGACAATACGTTCTTTTTGTAGTACAATGTTCAACTATGTTACAGTAACAACGTATCTATTAGTGCAAGGTAAGAAAACTAGGCCAAAAAAAAAGGTCAAATTTGGCCTTAGTGAATTTAATCTTCAGGTAATATTGGAGTCAAAAAGGTATATAAATGCAAACTGTATTACTTAAAGGGGGATTGAAAATTGTAAATGCACGAACTTTGGTTGTATAGTTGATAAACGGTAAATAAATTAAGGATCCTTATTCGGGTAGAAGTTATACCACATCGAATTCGTCGGCAGTCGCCTTATATTATTTTATGCCACATTACACAGGCTTGAGGCTTGAGCCGGTCAGAAAAATCTAAAAGGTGTGCGTTTCGCACCGGCGCGGCAGTCGGCGCGGAAGCGAAACGCGCAATATTTTCCGCTCTTTTGAGTATAAAGTCTTTTCTGATCGATTAATGTGATCCCGTGTCGGTATATGGTGACTCCCTTATACAAAATATTATTTCAAATTATACATAAATATACACAGATTCTTTTTGTCAATGTTTTTATTTTATGTAACTTGATGAATAGTCAGAGTGTAAATTCGTCGTGTTTTATAATTTTGATTGACGTGTTGATTATCGCGAGCCGTCGCGAAACATATTCGACAATTTTATATAGCAAATTGGACAGCACCTGTCGATAGGATTACCAAAGTCACATCATCGTCCTCTGTAAAATAAAATCACATGTGATAATACGTCAAAATTGCTTTTATCACAAGAATGTGATAAAGATAATACGATTTAGACACCACACAACTGCAGCCGACCGCGATGGCATGCAGTTGAAGATGTTAACTGCACATATGCAGTCTGTCTTACAGCAGCCCATTTAAGAATATCTACTATAAATTACAGTAATAAAAATCCAGACGGTCGTCATAGATTTAACGACATGCGGAGGAAATTCTGATCTACAAGTTCGCAAAGGACTCATAGACGACATCAAATTATATCCGTGGTACGGGATATTTTACTATCAATATGGTACGTGACCTTGTAGCATTAGTTGTATGTACATGTTCTTCAGATGAATATTATATAGTTCGTGTGTGATATTGTAGTTGGGAGCACATCAAGCTTTGGCCTACCGTTTTTACTGAATTTGAATGTTACGAGTAAGTGTCAAGTTTAACGATCTCTTGACCGTGTACCGTAGACCTTTTCTTACATTTATGTTATATTTCCCAGTGCATACCATTCATTCCGGTCTTGCACTTTCCTCATCCATTATTTCCCCGTTTCTCCTTCTCCGCTTCTTCTTATCGTATCGGTGTTTGTGGTTAGCTGCAGAGACGGACATGTTTGTCTGTCCCGGTTGCATGTGGCCGGGGCGTCAGCCTCGTGAGCAACTAGCGCGTCTTAGTAGCGGTCTAGTTGAGGGCCTGTACGCGAGGAGACGCGCGGGGCACGTGAGTTGCCCTTTAAGTTGGAAGCTATGTCCGGACATTATCGCAGGACACTGCGACTGGCATCTCCGACACTTACCCGGAGAGCTAGTAGAGAATAAGCTAGATATCCTCCGGTCCCTCCAGCCGCTTAGGTTATTGGGAACTAGAGAGACATCGTTTTTCGGCGTCAGGAAGTGAGCGTGCCTTACAGCTCCGCCACTAATGAGGAGATATGGTAGTGGACTCAGGGTCGACGGCTTAGCGGTGGCAATAGCTCCGGTGCCTATCTGGGAAATAGAGAGGGTACTGTACGTGCGTCCGAGGCACTAGCCTCTCGAAGAACTGGATAAAGTCATGTGACAGAGGTCTGTGACAACCCTGTACACTGACTGATCTGGAGTCAGAACCTGAACTTGTAAGGTTCCTGTGCGCGCATAGTGCCCTACTTGTATGCCTTCAGGGTAGGTGGGGAGGGTGACTATAATCAAAACTAACGTAGAAAGATATGGAGCTGTCCGTTTCCACTTTCTGTTGACTAACCTTGGATAACCAATCTTGTTGAATCTTGTCAACAAGATTCACTTTTCTTCGGATCTTTTTATCTCTGAATAGATTTCGGAGATATACCAACGTAGTCTGTTCCATAACTCTCTGGGTTACGTTAAGTTTCTGGACTGTCTCCCTAACTCAGCTCTGTACATTGTGCCTGGAAGGTCCATTGCACACGCCTGGTGGTAATTGATACGCTTATTCATGACAGTGGCAGTGCCATTCAGAGCTTTAAATCGCAAAGATCTGAGTGACACTACCACTGTACCCGTCACTCTGAGACAAAAATTGACAAGTCCCATGTGCTTGTAATTTCAATTCCACCGTATCTTTACCCTACAAAACCGAAACGCTTAATAATAAAGTAATACTTATATTACTGCTTGACGGCAGAAATAGGTAAGGTGGCAGGCAGTACTTCCCATGATGACATATTCTTTCACACGGAGCTCTACTGCTGCTAATTTATTTTATATAGAGACGCATTAAATAATTGGCATATTAATTATACTTATGCTATATAATCAGTCACAGAAAAACAATATAGCATAATAAAAAGGAATCAACAAGTTTGTCTCATTTAAAAAAAAAGTGGAATGTAAATTTCGTAAAAAATCTGTTGAACACAATTATTGCAATTCCTAAATTTCCTTTTGGGACCTTTGGCACTCTTGATGTAGAGCCGTGTTAAAAAAATGTTATTTATCTTAAATGTTTAATAACTTAGATTTTTTTTAATGTTGGACAGACAACAGAGAAACAGAGTTACGGGTGGTGACACCAGTGGTGTTAATCCAAGAGGAGTTCGTGCTAGCAAACGCAATTGAGATCGGACTTCTACCTAAGGATAATATCAGGTTTGGTATCTGTTGTATAAAGGTAGATATAAATAGTTTAAATTCAGTTTCATGTTTATTTCTTTTTTAATAAATTGTATAACCTCCTACCCTCAATTGGGACAACCTACATTGGAAAAAGCACTGAGGCGTTCAGTGTACTAGTGTGCATAAAAATATACCAAGAATAATTACATGTTCAGGCTCAAGGAAGCAGGCCCTCAGTTTCGAATTAAAAACGTACTGAGGTCACATGTATAGCGATAAATTTGAATATGATATTTTCATTATAATGTATATTGGGTGTTCACGTGATCACAGAGATAATGTTGACTGAGTCTGAATCACTTCACGTATTATGTACAGTCGATGGCCTAAGATACTATTGAGATTACAGGCACATGGGATTTTTCAACTTATCATGGGCTGCCATTGCGGCAGCTCTTTGTGATTTAAAACTATGAGTGGTTCAGCAACTGTCATGGACAGGCGTGTGAATTACCACCAAGCGGATGACTTGTTCGTCCTGTCACTTTGTAACATAAAAAAATATGTTGACCCCTAGCAGATTTTTAGATATTTAGCCGTACGCCCTGTATATTGTACACTTAACGCAATACGAATTTGAAATTCATTTATAATCTGATTTAATTATGTATGGTCACAAAACCAGGCTAGTCCAGGGGTGTCTCTCTCTGATTGGCTAATGTTGCTTTTTCATACGTTGTCTCGCAGGATATAACATAGAAAACAGCCTTAGAATGTAGCTGAAAAGCAGCTCGGATGTAGTAGCCACGAACTGGCTGGCGTTATACGTACACAGTAAAATTATGGCTTTCTCTATGTTGCAAGAATTAATTACTTACATAGTATGTACATTTACGGGAACGCTATTCGACATAGCCCGATGGTTTTCCAGTTTTCGGCCGCCATTACTAGGTCTTATTCTACAACGGCTTTACAGCGGACTTTTGCGAATGTGTGCGTATATTTTGATACGAGTGAGATTTCATGAATGAAAAGAAGCCGACATTTGACCGGCTCGCGAGGTGAATCGCACGCTATGATTGGTTAAGAAGATCTATCATACTCCGTGTTATCAAAGACAGGTGACTACGCGTTTATTATTGAATAGTTTGAAAATAAGTTTTTTAAGTGGTGGGGTGTGCGCGCTGTCTGGTGTAGTAGTAGTAGTAGTAGTAGTAGTAGTAGTAGTAGTAGTAGTAGTAGT